CTCACACTTAGATTCTGCAGGTGTCCCTCACCTGGGCTTCCAAATACTCCTGTTTCTGACCCATCACCTGGCACCAAGCCATGCTCCCCCAGAGAGAGATAGACTGGGTGTCAACAGCATTGAGCTGCAGTCGCTGGGCTCAACTGGAGCCTATGCCTGACCCCCGCCTGCCAAACCCCTTTCAGGATAGCCTCCAGAAATAGGGGCCACAGTGTTGTCACTGGTTTCTCAAAAGAGCAATGGCATTCCGGGAGGGAATTACCCAGCATGCAGCCCTGGGGAATTAGATGGAGAGTCTGGTCCTGTTTATGAGCTGGGTGGGTAAAACACTGAGCTAGGTGCTACTGTTCTGTGTCCCTGGACAAGTGACCCCACCCCTCTGGACTCTGATCTCCTATAAAATGATGGATTGCATGGTCCAGTGGGCTCCAGTGGGCTCTCAGTTTTGAGGTCTGGGTTCCCACATCTGGGACAGCCTTTGCTTTTCATGTCAGAGGGGCATGAAGACATGGCGTTGGGGGAGACAGTACCTCCGTGGACCTGCTTTAGCTGCATGGGGTGTTTCCAGGGCAATCTGCAAGCCTTGGGCCCTGCCCACAGCAGACACAAGGTCAACCCTAAGCAGAGTTAATCCTGTTCCATCACGCTCCCACAGAGACATGTAATATGTTAGGGACAGGAGGGCATGCCCAACAGGAAACAGAAAATAGGATACATATTAATGTTATGTGCTGTTGAGGCTGGGGTATCAGAAACATCAGCTTAGTAGGAAGGGACGAGAGTCTGGAAGAGTCCTAGCAGAGTGGGATACACCATTTATACCACCCAGAGACCCCCTAGTACTTGATTATTGTTATGTAATATCAAGTCAATTCGACTCACAGCAACCCTGTATAGCGTTTCCAAGACTGTAAATCTTTGTGGGAGCAAAAAGCCTCATCTTTCTTCTGTGGAGTAGCTAGTGGGTTCGAACTGACTATCTTGTGGTTCACAGTCTAGTACTTCTCCAGTACTTATCGTACAGAGCCACCACTTACAGAGCCACTGCACTCCCCTAGTAGGTGCTCAATAAATACTTGTTGAATGAAGTTCCAGGAAGGGAAGCCCACTGTTCCCTTGGATAAAAAATGGTGGTGATAGCATTTAATTGGTGTTAAATACTCTCTGTCACATGTATTTACTCATATGGTGGTGGTGGTGGCTGTATGCCTCGGCGTCAATTCCATAAGACCCTGCATAGGGTTTCTGAGGCCGTAAATCTTTCTGGGAACAGAAAGCCTGGTCGGTCTCCCTCAGAGCAGCTGGCAGATTCAAACTGCTAACCTTTTGATTAGCATTCCAGCTCATAATCTACTATGTTACCAAGGCTCTAATAGTTCTCAAAAAGTTTATGGGATGATAGCTATTACTGTCCCCATCGTAAGATATAAATTGTATAAGTAAGTGTATAAATTGAGGCACAGAAAGGTTAAGTCATTAGCTGCTTGAGGGCAGAGGTGGATGCAAAGCCATCCTGCCTGGCTCTTTACAGCCCCACTATGCTATGTGAAGGTAGTAGAGATAGAACAGCCCTCAGAGGGTAAGAGTTGCTCAAACCGTGTGAGGAAACTTCCCCGTCAGGACTGGACTTGGCAGGGCGGAAGTGGTTGGTGAGTGGTGCTAAGGAGCAGTGTAGTCCAAGGGGCCTCTTCCCTGCTGCTTGCTCCTGAGGCGTACCTCCTTCATCCCAGTTCCTTCTTCTGACGCTCTGCCACAGGAGGCACACACTCTACCTCTTCCTGCATGGAGGAGGCTCCGGTTCTGGGTTCCTCCCCTCACCCAGTATCCTCCAAAAAAACAGGCGCATTTTCCCCATGCTGCATTCAGGTCAAACCAGAAGCCTGGGTTCCAGGTCCCTAAGCCTCAAAGTGGGATTAAAGTGAGTCTTCAGGCCTTGCAAGTCTTCCCAGATCCCCCCACACTCCACAAACCTAGGATCCCCACTTTTGAGGATCTCAAATCCCCATACTCCAGGAGCTCCCTATGCCCTGCTAACACAGCCAGCTGTGGGCAAAAGAGCACAGCAGTAGTGGGTCCGAGCCTTACAGGTCCTCCCTGCCTCATCTGCTTCACCCATCACTGGGCCAGAGAGCACCTGCTTTGTGCAAAGTCAGAGGGCACACGAGACCACTTTCCTCGTTACCACCACATGGTTCTTCAGGGAGAACAGGGGAAGGCTGCCTTGGGAAGCAGAGCAGTCTCAGTCCCAAAACAGACAGGATTGGGTAGGAGCCAACTTGCCTGGTGAAGACTGATAGATGGGATGGGGCTTTGGGGTGCCTCAGCCCTTGCATCTGGGAAAAGCATCCTCACACCCCACACCCGGGCTGCTATCTGCCATCTGCCCTCCCAGCACTGGTGATCTGACGGTGAGGTCACTGTGAAGATGCAAGGCTCTGAGCCCTGCCTGTCCCCACCCCTGTGAGGGGATGAGGGAAGGAGATGGGGTCTCAATGGGGTTGGTGGGTGATGTCCTAAGGCAAGCCCACCATGCTTTGGCAAAAATCCCAATAGCTCCAAGGAATCCACACCCTTCCCCCACCCCACTCTTACCTGTGGCCCAAGCCCTCCCAACTGGCTTTTCCTGTTCCTGGCTTTGTGTGTCGAAAGTTCCCACTTATGCCCACATTATCTCAGCCCCGGGCAGCCTCCAGCAGGTTTGGGGGCGGGACAAAAAGCACTCACTTAGCCAGCTAGGGTTAGCTGCTGGCCACTGAACTCATGGTGGGACTGTGTCTGGCGTGGTGCACAGTCTCTGCACTCAGAGGGCCAGAAGGGACCATTGAGAATGGGACTTCAGGCTGCTCATTTGACAGATTAAGAGAATGGACTCAGAAAGGAGAAGTGTTAGCCAGATCTTTGCCTCCGGGTTGGTAAAGCTAAAGTCAAAGCCAGACTAGAACCCACTGGCCCCCGCCCAGCTCAGCAGTGCACTTTGCATGGGGAGGGGCCAGCTTGAAGGCTGTGTGCATGGAAATGGGTATGGAGAAGGGGAAACACCAGAGACAGTTGGGAAGCTTTCAGAGTATGGCTGAGGACAGGCTTCTTGTTGTTACATGCCGTCAAGTCGGTTTTGACTCATAGCAGATATGGTATAGTGTTTCCGAGGAGCAGCTCATGAATTTGAACTGTTGACTCTGCAGTTCAAACTGACATTGTAGTCAGTGCATTATCCCATAGCACCATACCAGGACTCCAGGGACTGGCTTGGTGGTGGTGGTTATGTGTCATGGAGTCGATTCCGACTCACAGCCATCCTGCACTGGGTTTCCGAGGCTGTAAATCTTTACGGGAGCAGATATCCTCATCTTTCTCCCATGGAATGGCTGATAGTTTTGAACTGCTGACCTTGAGGTTAGCTGCCCAACTCGTAATCACTACACTACCCTACTAGAACTCCGTAGGGACTGGCTTAGTGGCTTAGACATTTATTCAGTAACATTGAGTTCTACTGCATGCTGGACTCGAACAGACCAGGCCTGTGAGGTTTTGGAGTCATCCCGAGAACCTATCCTGCACCCAAGCATCTATCATGTAGAGGAAGTGAGTGTGAGCCCCCTTGGGGGGGTCATGTAGGCTATTCCCCTGTCAGAGCCCGGTGTGGCTGATGTTATTGAGTGAGTGAAGTAAGGATGAGAGGACTTGAAGTGTACAAATGTGGCCTCGGAGACAGCTTCATGGCACTCATAGAGCTCTGGGTTGAGCTGAAGGACTGAGCTGGAGGGCAGAGCCTCAAATTAGAGAGTGGAGTCAAGTTCAGGAAGTTCAAGGCCTTGAGATCAAACTAAAGACATTCAACATGGCCTAAAGCAGCCAGTGGGGAGGCCAGGGAGGATTCTTTCATTCCTTCAATGCCACTGATCTCACAAATACTCTCTTGGCTTTTCCATCGCGATTTGTCTGACAGCAAATGTTTACTGAGTACCTATTGTGTGCCAGGGTACTGTGCTGGGCAAAGGGGATACAGAGATGGAAAAGACACAGACCCTGCCCTGATGGGGAAGTCAGACCTGTAAACAACCACATCCAGAGTAGAAAAGAGCCACAATAAAGTGTCTGGAAGGATTGGGGAAGTTTCCCAGAGGGAGCCTTCTAGACTCGAGGAACAGCAAGAACCCGGAAGTGCTACCTCAATAGGCTCTGTGCTCCTTGGGCTCCGGCTCTGAGTTGTTCATTGATATGACGCAAGTGCCTATAATAGATTGTGGAATACGGTTACTCAGAAAATGGTGGTTGAATAACTGGGAAGAGGAGTGGAGGGAGGAAAAAAATGCAGAAGAAACATAAGCAATTATATGGATAGGCTGATATGGTTGGAAAACAGGGTGTTTGGGGAGATGTGGACAAAAAGGCAGGGCCCAACTGGTCAAGAGTGTCAGAGGTCAAGTGAAGACCGGTAGACTTGATAGTGAAGGTCAATCGTTGTGTAGTGTCTCCTTCTCCCTGCCTGGCTGGTCAGGGAGGCCACAGGGGGAAAGACAGCGGAAGTGGCTACACTGTCAATGTGGCCCCCGAAGTTTCCTGCCTCCTGGAAGACTTGTCACATCCATTATGCTGTTTGATTCCCCCCGAGAAGCTGAAAGGAATGATGATCGACCCCATTTTTCAGATGAGAGGACTAAGGCCCAGAGAGGCAAAGTAAGCCTGAGCTCTAGTTGAAAAGCAGAGCGTTCTACCCTCCTCATTAAAACCAAGGCTGTAACTATCACGTAATTCACAATAAAACATTTAAAGAAAAACAACGAGGCTGTGAGTGTATAGTTACTGACATGGAGAGACATTTATTGTATAGCACCAAGTAAAGAAGCAGTTTATGGAACTGTATGGACAGTTTGATTTTGTAAACAAAAGAAATAAAGCTACATGGTCATGTGTTTTTATTGTTAGTTGTCATCAGAGTGTCTTCAGCTTATGGCAACTGTATGCACAACAGAACAAAGCAGTCCCCATCCCTGCCCTTCATGGCCACTGGTATACTTGAGTCCATTTTTGTGTTGTGCCTTCTAACCCAGGGGACTCATCTTCCAGTACTATATCAGACATTATTCTGTTGTGATCCATAAGGTTTTCATTGGTTGGTTTTCATAAGTTGATTTCTAGGCCTTTCTTCCTCATTCGTCTTAGTCTGCTGAAACCTGTCCACCGTGGATGATCCTCCTGGAATTAGAAACATTGGTGGTGTAACTTTCAGCATCATAGCAACATGGAGAAAGGGGGCAAAAAAAGGGGAGGGAAATGGATATCGTTTTCAGTGCTGTTTCTGAGTGGTGGGACCATGGATTGTCATTTTTGTCTCAGTAGTTTTCAATATTGCCCAGAGTGTCTACACTTTTTACAACAAGCCATTATGATTTGTATAAGCAGAATAAAACAAACAATGGCTCCAGTAAAAGAACAGACACACACACAGGACAGTGTAGGGGTGTTGTAGGGGTATTGTAGGGGTGGGGACTGTTACTGTTCTGACAGCTCCCTCTTGTCTCCCCATTCAGATGCAAACACCCAGGTGGTCCAGGTGAATGACTCCATGTACGGCTTTATTGGCACTGACGTGGTCCTGCATTGCAGCTTTGCCAATCCACTGCCCAATGTGAAAATCACCCAGGTCACATGGCAGAAGGCCACCAATGGCTCCAAGCAGAATGTGGCCATCTACAATCCAGTCTTGGGTATCTCTGTGCTGCCTCCCTACCAGAAACGTGTGGAGTTTCTGCAGCCTTCTTTCACCGATGGCACCATCCGTCTCTCCCGCCTGGAGCTGGAGGACGAGGGTGTCTACATCTGCGAGTTTGCCACCTTCCCAAAGGGCAATCGTGAGAGCCAGCTCAATCTCACTGTCATGGGTAAGATGGCCTGAACCCTTCCCTCCCTGCTTGGTCAGGGTACGTTCTTGGACCAGCAACCACAGGAGGGTCCACCCTGTTCTCTAGCAATATGGGGGCTTGGCCATCTGGATATGTGCTTCATTGATCCCAGACATTCTCCTTAGGTAGGCATGGTCCATAGCTCCAGGCATGGTGCTTCCAGTGTCTTCTAGCCACAGTTCACTAGGGGTTGGGGTCAGGGCCTTAGCGCTGGACTGATCTGAGGATCAGTATTCAGGGTATTTTATGGGCAGCCAGGAAGCAGACGGAGGCATCAAACACCATGTCAGGAAAGGAGCCGCAGCAGCTATGGTGTGATCAGGCCAAGACTCCAAGAAGACATGTATGGCAAAAGGGAATGCAAGCAGTAGAGCAGGAAGGACAGGTTAGACATGAAGGATTTCCTGGGAGAATTTCTGGGCTTTGATGAAGCACAGTAGAGAGAAGAGGATGGATGGACAAAGTGGCCTGGAAGTCAGGGCCTATGCATCTTTGAGTCGGTATAGCTGGTCCCATGGCTCTCTCTGGTTCCCTACAGCCAAACCTACCAACTGGATCGAGGGTACCCAGGCAGTGCTTCGAGCCAAGAAGGGGCAGGAGCACAAAGTCTTGGTGGCCACCTGTACCTCAGCCAATGGAAAGCCTCCCAGTTTGGTGACCTGGGAAACGCGCCTGAAGGGCGAGGCTGAGTACCAGGAGATCCGGAACCCCAATGGTACAGTGACTGTCATCAGCCGCTACCGTCTCGTGCCCAGCCGGGAAGCCCACCAGCAGTCTCTGGCCTGCATCGTCAACTACCACATGGACCGATTCAGGGAGAGCCTCACCCTCAACATACAGTGTGAGCGGGCAAGGAGCCAGCTGGGTGGGCCTTGAGGCGGGCAGGCCCCATCCCTTCCTACCATGTGCCTCACTCTCCACCACTGAGCTTGTCAGCCCTCCCTCCCCTTTGCTTCTCCTCCTATTGCTTTCTTCTCCCTTCCTTCTCCCTTTCTCCTGTACCACTACCTCCTCCCCTCTTTGTACTCTTCTGCCCAGGGATGCCCCTACGCTCCTCCTCTTTCCTTCTCCTTTCTCATCCTTGCTTCTGCACTGAGCTGCTGTTACCTCCTCTCCTCTCACTCTTCCTTCTTCCTGATCATTTCTGTGTCCTTACTCTCTTCCATCTTTTCCTACTTACAGTCCCCACCCCACCCCACCACCCACCACCACCTCAGTCCTGCTCCCCTGACCTCACCCTCTTCAAACATCATCATCTTTACCCCACAGATGAGCCCGAGGTGACCATCGAGGGGTTCGATGGGAACTGGTACCTGCAGCGGACGGATGTGAAGCTCACATGCAGAGCGGATGCCAACCCCCCAGCCACCGAGTACCACTGGACCACGTGAGTACCTCTAGGCCACAGGGAGGTCTACCCACCCACCTCAGGAGCTTTGGCAGGGTCTGGGCCCAGAAGGGGAGAGGGCGCATTCGAGATCCACCTCACCCCTGTATCTGACACATCAGGTTCAGTGGTTACCAAAGAGGGCTCCCTCATGGTCTGCCACTCTTCTTCTCCCTAATAAAGAATTTGATCATTTCTCTTTGGTGATTCAGCCTGCATCATTCCTACCCCAACCCCAGTATTTATTTTTATCGCGGTATCCCCAGGGAAGCTGGCTTTTCTGGAGCATCCCAGATCTCTTTGTTCCTATTCCTTCTCTTTAGCACCCCCAGGTTCTCAGGGAGGGGCACAGTTCAGCTCAAGTGCCTGTGTTCATGGAACTCTCCCCCACCTCCCATCAGCCCATCCTTAACGTCATGTCCTTGGGCCTGGCCCTTAGAAAGTCCTGTCTCCTCTCCAGCCAGGTCTAATGACATGGGGCAAGCTTCTTCCCTGAGAAGAGTCAGGGGACACATAGGAGACAGGGGTGTGGGGGGAATCGAAGAAAGTTGACATGATGGTTAGAAAGCAGCTGCCTAGAATGAGTCTGAACCCTTTTTCAAGAAGTAGAGGGCATTGGCCTGCTCTCCCTCGGCCCCTGAACCAAACTTGCTTCCAAAGATACAGTAGGTAAGGCCTTCTTGCCAGTTTGCTAGGTCCAGCAGTCTAATAGCTTTGTGGCACTGGGGATCAGAGGGAAAGAAGAAGATGCTCTGTCCTCAGGAAACTCCCAGGGTGTTCCTCACGTGAGAAAGTCTGCATCACCCCAGCAACAACCCCAGATAATGAAGCGGAACACAACCATTGCAAAGCACATTGCAGTTGCCAAGTAGCTTGTTAAAACATGGATTCCCAGGCCTTGACCCAAAAGTTCTGGTTCAGTAGATCTACTGTTGGGATCCAGGCATCTGTATTTAACCAATTCCCAAGAGATTCCTATGCAGCCAGGCCAGCAACAGTCCAAAAACTAACAACCAGGAACCATAAGTTGTAGAAAGAGCATTAAACCAGGAGTCCCGTGATCTGGCTACTAAAGCTCCAGTTCAGTACCTTGCTAACTGTACTTCCTTGGTCTTGAAACTCACCTTCCTGTTAAGTGGACCAGTCCCTGCTTGTCCTGCCTACATTTCAGTGTTAAGATAATCAAAGGTGAAAATATTGTCTAATACAAAGCTGTCAAATGCACAAGATTTTTACTGGATTTGTTATTACCTTTACTCCTTCCAAGAGAGACCAACATGGGCTGGCAGGCTTAGAAATACATGGCTGAACAGGAATGACTTCTGAGGGTTGGGAAGGATGGGGATTCCTCTGAGTCAGGTGGATGCACTGCTCATGGGGCAGAGGCATTAACCTTGTGCGTCTCCCCTGATTCCTGCAGGATGAATGGCTCTCTTCCCAAAGGTGTAGAGGCCCAGAACAGAACCCTATTCTTCAGGGGACCCATCAACTATAGCCTGGCAGGAACCTACGTGTGCGAGGCCACCAACTCCATCGGCACGCGCTCGGGCCAGGTGGAGGTCAACGTCACAGGTAGGAAGCTGCCTTCTTCCTTGCCTCTTCCCACTCACTGGTTCCCTTGCCTTTGGGTTTATGCTGTTGCAGGAAGTTTGTTTCTCCTCTTCCTGCTTCTCTGTTCCTCCCTTGAGTGCTGGTCATTGGCAAGCAGTGCTTTACTTTTCTTTTCTCCATTTAAGGCTCTGTGTGCTTAAGGCTCTGGGTGTGACAGTCAGGAAGGGAGGAAGTCTGTGCAATGCTATCTGAGATCCATTTAGGCTATTTGCCTAGCCATGGATTATCCAACCTAAAGCACCATGTGATACTGGTTTGGTAGGTGTGGGTTTGCTTGGGGGAGTCCCATTCCTCTAAACTCTGAGTCTTCAGTTCAGGCGCCCTGAATGTGTCAGATAGCTTACCTCAAGCAGGATACTGGAGAGAAAAGGAAGGAGATAGCCCAAGTCTGTATCTGCCTGGTGACTGAACTACTCTTTTCCCTGTATCTTCTGTTAGCGCCATCACTTGAGCTCTCAAGTGACAGGGAAAGCCAGAATGTTCCAGGACAATTTCATATGGGATGTGAAAGGAGCATGGGCTTCAGTGTTAGACAAAAGCGATCTGTACAGTGAGCACAATATGACCGGTCTTGAAGGGTTGTTACCAGAATTACACAGAATGTAGGTCAACTACCTATAGCATCTCTCTGCTTGTTGGTAAATGACGTCATGACCTCTATCACTCTTCTACGCCAAGAAATTTAGGAGATCGCTACTGGCCAACCAACCAGAAGAACTCTAGATTCATGTCCATTCCAGAGAAAGGTGACCCAACAAACAGTATGTGGAAATTACTGAACAAAATCATTAATATCACACGTAAGTAAAATTTTATTGAAGATAATTCAAAAGTGGTTGCAACAGTACATCAACAGGGAACTGCCAGAAATTCAAAACAGATTCAGAAGACAACGTGAGGCAAATCATGTCATTGCCAAGGTCAGATGGATTTCAAAGCAGAAAATACCAAAAAGATGCCTACTTGTGTTTTGTTGACTATGCAAAAGCATATGACTGTGTGGATCCTATCAAATTAAGATAACACTGCGAAGAATGGAAATTCCAGAACACTTCATTGTGTTCATGCGGAACCTCTCCACAGACATCAGAGGCAGTCTGAAATAAAACTAGAGGATATGGTGTGGTTTAAAATCAGAAAAGGTATGTCTCAAGGTGGTGTCGTTCTACCATGCTTATTCCGTCTGTATGCTGAGCAGATATTCTGAGAAGTGGACCTATATGAAGAAGAGCATGGCATCAGGTTTCAGGGAAGACTCATTAACAATCTGCAACATGCAGATGACATACCTTGCTTATTGGGAGTGAAGAGGATTTGAAGCACTTACTAATGATGATAAAAGGTTACAGTTTTCAGTATGGATTACACTTTAATATTAAAGAAAACTAAAACCCAACTGGACCAATAAACAACATCATGAAATTGTCAAGGATTTAATTTTATTTGGATACACAATCAACATCCACAGAAACAGCAGTCAAGACATAAAACGACACATTACATCAGTCAAATCTGCTGGGAAAGATCTCTTTAAAGTACAAAAAAGCAAAAATGTCCCATGGAGGACTAGGGTGTGCCTAATCCTAGCAATGATATGTTTAGTTGCCTCATATGCATGTGAAAGCTGGACAGTGAACAAGAAAGGCCAAAGAAGAATTGATGCATTTGAATTATGGTATTGACAAAGAATGTTGGATACACCGTGGACTCCCAGAGAAACTAACAAATCTGTCTTGGAAGAAGTACAGCTACAATGTTCCTTGGCAGGAAAGATGGTGAGATGTGGTCTCACTTTCTTTGGACATCGTATCAGGATGGACCAGTCAGTAGAGAAGGACATCATGGTTGGAAACAGAGGATCTGCAAAAAAAAAAGAGAAAGACAAGATGAATTGACAGAGTAGCTGCAAAATTGTGCTCAAGCATAGCCAATAACTGTGAGGATGGTGCAGGGCCAGTGTTTTGTTCTGTTGTACAGAGAGAGTCACTACAACTGGAACTGACTCAACAGCATCTATTAACTGTCATTATCATTACTATTAATGGAAGGATCAAAACAATCAATAGAGAGGTAACTAGCATCACAGCTTCACAACTAGAAGAGGGAGTGTCTTTAACATTGTAACATTCAGTGAGTTGCAGTGAGCCTCTGAGAACAGGAAGTGACATCATGGTCCTGTTGAGGATAGGAAGTAACATTGGAGGGTTAGTATAATGTCCAGGGGCTGACCTCAGGGAGGTGCTGGGTCAGGCTCAGCAGTACTAGAACTTAGATAGTAGATTGTCAGGCTCCAATCACATGGCTTGGGCAAGCCTTGGGGATTCATTGTCTCTGAGCCTTCCTCTCATTTGTGGATACATTCAAGGCACAGCTGCAGAAAGAGCACAATCCAAAGATACATCATACAGGGGCTAGACCTACCGGTCCTTGGAGCCACTCTGTCATCTGCCTCAATTGGACTGGAGGGCAGTCGTTTGCTATTTTGTTCACCTCCCTAAAATAGTTTTAGGGCTATTTAAGGAAGTGGAAATGTCAGGCTTAGGGTCTGGGAAAACTGAGCAGCCCCTCCCCAAGGCTGGGATTTAGAGGTTCCCACTGGATGGCAAATTCCTCCCCTCTTGAAGAAAGTTTGGGCAGAGCTCAGCAAAAGTTTATAGGGTCTGAGGCCTGACCCTGGGGCCAGAGGGCAGACACAGGTGAGATGGTCATGCAAGGTGATGTTATTTCATTAGAAGTCATAAGAGTGTGATCACCCCACACGGAGTCAGTGTCATGAACAGGGTGCATAGACTTGACCTGAGTATGTTCACATACTGGCTCTTCCTAGCTGTGTGGCCTTGGGCAAGTCCTTTACCTCTCTGAGCCTCAGCTTTCTAATCTGTAATATGAAGATAATTATACTTATCTCAGGCTTCTTGTGATCATACAAGGAGATATGCATGCAAAATACATATTCACTGTTTGCCACATAGTGAGCAATGCTCCACCTCCCTTCTGCATGGTGATACATCCCTCTAATGGAGTCCTGGTGTGGCACTGTGGGATAATGCACTGGACCACAAGGTCAGTTTGAACTGCAAAGTTGGAGGTTCAAACTCACCAGCTGTTCCTCAAAGCCCCTATAGGGGATCACTAGGAGTCGGAGTAAACTAGATAGCACTTAACAAACAATGGTGGACCACAAACGCCACCACATCCCCAGGCTCTCCAGGGAACTGCTGATTGGGAAATCAGGGAGGAGGCCAAGAAACCCAAGAGCCACTTTCTCCTGTTGATCCCAGCATAAGAAGACAGGCTTCAGAGGCAAAGTGGTACTGCCTAGCCCCAGAGGCAGGGCTGGGGTTGGAAAGCCAGGGCCTCCCTTCTCCACAGATTAGGAGGGTACAGGACAATGGTGAGTGCAGGCTGCTCATCAGGGTGTTACACCAGATCCAAGAGGAGAGAAGAAGGAAAGGGAGGTCACTTCCCAGGCCCAGAGGACACAGAGGAAAACAAAGGAGGAAGAGAAGCCAGCTGTGGGGCTTTGCTCTAGTGGTCAGGGCTGGGTGGTGGTCGTGTGCTGCTGTGCCTGTGATGGACATCATGACAGTGGGGTGAGCAGGTGGGCAAGATGGTCCAGGGGCCAGCAAGGACTCAAAATGGGGGAGGGGCATAAATGCCTTCTTAGGCTTCTTGAAGGCACAGAGTAAGATGGGGGTGGTCGTCAAAGACACACATGCTCTGGTGGTTAGAAGGGCATTTTCAAAGGGTGACACTGCTGACAGGCCATCTAGGCAGGAGCTGAAGAAGCTTAATGCCTCCTGAATCATTGATGGGTCCAGAGTGATTAGCTACCCTCCCGAGGCGGGGGGCGTCCCAATGGGCTTAGCCAGTTGAGTCCTTCAGGACTATTTGTACATGTGCTTACAGGCAATTTCCAAGCAGCAGCCAAGCTCACAGTCCTTCATCCCACATGGCTAGTACCCAGCACAATCTCCAGGGGGGCCCACGGGCCATGCCTTGAACTCCAAGCCCTATTCATCTGCAGGGAATGCATGAGTGAGAGGGATAAGTGGAAATTTAATTTTTCATTCTGGCCATCCGTTCGGGTAATAGCTTTGCTCTGGGCGCATCTGCAGAGGGAAATGAAGAGCAGCTGGGGCAAGGGGCAGAGGTGTGCAGCGGGTGCTCACTGACGAAGCAGACACATCTGAACGGAGTGTAGTTTCTGGACTGGCTGCACCGCTGCACAATCATTGGCTCTGGACTCTCTGGACCCCAGGCCCTGGGCAAGAGTTCTGAAGCACTTATACAGGTGGTACAGGTGGGCAACCAAGGGCTGAGTTCTCAGCCTCCTGAGCCAGCACTAGTACTGGACAGGGTGCAAGTGACAGGTTTGCTCTGACTGAGGGAAGCCAGGCCAACTTTGGAGGAGGAGGTGCTTGAGTTCCTGCAAAGACGAGTGAGTGAGTGAGTGAGTGAGTGAGTGAGTGAGTAGGGAAAGCTGGGCTTTCAGGCAGGGAACCACGTAGAAGGAAAAGGACTGGAGCTGAGCAGGCAGCAGTGTAAAGAACACAGCCTATGTTCTGTTAGCAAATGGGAGACTCTGAAGGGTTTATATTATAGCAGAGAAGAGCAATCCTGAGGCTCTGTGAGTTAAAAGGGTCCAGGCAGGCATCAAGAGACCAGTTTAAGACAGTTACAGCAAGCGATCCAAGCCCAGGTTGTGGGGATGAGAGACAGGAGGAAACAGACCCAATTGATTTTGTTCACATATCTATTTCCAAGGCACCACTAAAAAACCAATCCACTGTTGTCAAGTGGATTCTGACTCGTAGTGACCATGGAGGACAGAGTAGAACTGCCCCATAGGATTCCTAAGATTGTCAATCTTTAGGGAGGCAGATTGCCTCATGGTTCTCCCCAGGAGCAGCTGGTAGGTTTGAACTGTCAACCTTTAAGTTAACAGTCCAGCACTTAAC